TGAAGTGTCCCACAAAAACAAGGGTTAGCTATTACAAGACTTCTCCCAGATGCTTATAGAGTACTTTGTCTGCCTCCATTCAGGTTGGGTGGTTTATAACAGACTGCGACCATGATGTCTGCCTTGCTGGCCTTCCTCCAATTCTTATCCATAAACAACCCTATCGTCATTATCATTAAGGTCTAAACAGTTAAAACACTCCCTAACATACATGGCCACCCCACCATCTCTCCTTCCTTGCATGTCCTTTCTGAAAGATCTATAGCCACCCACTGCAGCACTCCAGTTGTGTGAGTAATCCCACCATGTTTCCGTGATTGCATCTATGTCATAGCCTTCCTGCTGCACAACAGCTTCCAGCTCCTTCATTTGTTGCCTATGATGTGTGCACTGGTGTAGATGTACTTCAGTTGGGCTATTGATCCCACCACCTTTATGGGGGAAGAAGTCCCAACTCCTACATGACCATTCTCAGGCACTTCCATGGTTTCTAACATGTCAGTAATCCTGGCATCTTTGCTGCTGCATGGATCTCCAACCCCTCCCTTGAGTGAGATGGCAGACTGAAGAACCTTGCAAGCACACTGTCCCTCAAACATTTGCCTGCCATACCCAAGGCTTATTTCTGCCTGGTTTTATCCCTTTTACCCCTAGAATCTAGTTTAAATCTACTAACGTATTAAAATGTGCAAGAACTACTGTGTTCACATAGCTTTCGGTCCCATATCAAAACCTATAAAAACTGCTCACACCTATATTTAAAGTCATACTCAGTTTTTCCAACAGCCAGCTTCAAGATAAACAGCTTTTAAATAAAATTTAGGTTTCCTAGCATATAGAACAGACAGAGTTAAAAATTATTACATGTGCTTGGCAATTTTTTATGAGAAACTAAAAGCCAAGTAGTTAACAACTAACAACTAACTACAACAACAAACTCATAATGGTTTTCTGCCTTGTTTACCCTGCCAAGGAATAAAAACTATGGCCTCTTTTGGAAATGCACAGATTTTGATGCCAATACACTGAGCCGCTCAGTATAATGTTTATGTTTTGCCAAGGTAGAAAGACCACCCATATCAATGACATAAAACTCAAAGACAGCAGAAGATGAACAGACAAAGCGGCAGGTTCAGTTTTAAAGAACACACAAATTTTGCTAATACAACTGACTTCATCTCAGAAAAAAAGGGTTACTAAAATTAAAGAGCTTTTTTATCACTGCTGGGTCAGATCAACCAAAGATGCAGAAGAGTAAAGTGAATCCTGGCAGGGAGTGTATTAACGCGCTTTTGGTCTAAATGCTGAAGAACACCTCCCTGCTCAGAACATGCCTATGTCTTGACCGCAAGTTCTTGGTGTCCAGTGGGTCTGTTTTAAAGAGATACTTAGCCTACAACTTGAAGAAACTAAATGCTACTGATGTGTTTAAATGCTTATACAGTAGCTAGGCTGTCCATCACTAAGAAGGTGGTAAGTCCTAGGACTAGAATGTTACAAAAAGGAAAAGGGAATAGCACAGGAGAGTTCAGGGACCTATCACCAAGACCACATCTCTATTTACACAACAGAGCAACACACAGACACCAGAGTCAGTATCTCCCCCAGCCATTGCACCAAGCATGGAGTGGAAAAGCAGAGAATCCACAACACAATCATCACAGTCATCCTGTCTCAGGGTCATAACAGACCTGTCCTTTTATTATGAAACACTTGTGTGAATAAAGCTCTATCTGTTGGGGCTATGCTACTTCCAACCCTACAGAAAGCCAAGTCAGAAGCGCAGCTCCTCCTTCCCTCACAGCTTGCTGCATACACCTCTGTTTGAGGAGCTGGGACTCCACCATCCCTGTGGACAACCATGCTGCCCACAGCAGCATGATGCTGACTTGACATCAAGTACCCCTGCATTCTCTCCCTTCTGCACACATCACTGAGGACTGGCAGCACAAGGAGGTGGGTATGTGTGGCGGATGGGTGTCAAAGACAAAACAAAACAGGAAGATCCCTTTACAAAAGAAAAAAAACATGCCACATGTGGAATACAAATGTAAATGATTAATAGTTTGGGCTGAACAACAGGTTTGCCTGAAATCCCTGTTGACTTCTAGGTTTTCTGAAGCTTACTTCCTTCTAATTTCCAACAATAACCAAAAACTCTTCTAAGGCTTGGTTCTGCAAACAATTACAAACCAGTAAGTTCTGCTGCACAGAATCCAACTGCAGCTAGCAAGACAATCTCAGTGGCTACAATACCTTGCAAGAGTAAAAGCGAGCACAGAATTGCTGCTTCATGTGGTTTTCTCCTTCTCCACTATAAATGAATAGGTCTCTGTCTCTCAGCACTTTCAGCCCATTCCCTCTGAGCATTTTCAATGGGTACTCCAGAGGTATCATATTAAAGAAAAATATTTAGAAGTAGCATCAATGTTAACATTGTCTATTCCCTCCACTCACCCCCCGAAATTCTCTACCCTATCCCACTGAGGACAGTGCAGGGGACTTAGGAAGTGGCTGTAAGGTGTTTAGCTGTCTGCTGGGTGAAACTGGGCTGACCAAGTGAAAAACAACAGCATTTAGTATCTTCATTTAATAAAAGTTCAAGCTGCAAAATACTGAGTTTGGACACATGCTTGTGACACTGTTAAAAGCACTGGTGGTGTCTGCAGTGGCTGCAGGGTACAGCTGGATGTCACAACAAAGCCATTCTGTCTGCCTGCTGCAGCCAAGCACAATCAGTCCCAGTTCCTTCAGCCCTAAATCATCTTCACCTTCACCCTTTTCTCCTACCCCAGTCATCTCTCCTTTCTTCACTGTATTAGTTAAGGCAGGAGAGAGAGAAGGGGGTCTCTGAAACAGGCCAAAACAGAGCAGACAGGCACCAGAACAGATGCAGGAGATAGGATGGCATATGCAAGATTTTCTTTTCAGTAGCAGTGGACGCAAGATCAGCTTAGTAAGGTATTGGTAGATACCTAAAGCTTGCATAGAAACTTCATGGAGTATAAAATCAAAGAGCATTAAATATAAAACACCACCGGAGCATAAATTCCCTAAGCTACAAAATGCTGGAGTCTGGGATGCCACTTAGGAATCTCTCTGGACGCTTGTCTTTTTAACTCCTTTTCCCAGCCATCATCCCTCAGGATAATGGGTCCTACATTCCTAGTTGTGCTGTCACACCAAACCCTGAAGCTTCGCACAGTGCAAACTCACATAAGGCAGCACAAAGGCAGGCCAAGCTACACTCCAATCAGGAAACCAATTGTGCATAATTTTCAATTTAAAATGGATTAAGATTAATCTCAACTGGTTGCCCCAACAGGGAAATGCACTGCTTTGGTGGGTAAAGACATCTATGCAAATGACAGCACATGGGAACTATTTCTTCCTGGAGCAGTTTCTGGGAAGTAAAACCACATTACTCAAGTACAAAAGTACATTACTCAAGACTGAAATAGTTTAAAAAAATAAAAATAGGAAAAAAATTAAAAAGCACATAGCAAAAAAAACCCCCAAACAACTGAGAAATGACTGTAAGCGTCTAAAAAAACCTAAAAATTATTTTCAGTTAGTGCAGCACAGTAATTGTTCAACATTTATGCTTCTACACGGTGGTTTTCTTATGCATAGGGAGCAATATAAAAAAATAAAACATGATCCTGATTACCTTGGGAAACTATTAAAAAAAAATGATAAAAGCTAATGAGATTCAATCCAATCACACAGCACCAATGTAAAACAGGACATTTTTGACCTTGTAGGTCCCTATTAGTTTGTACAGAAATAATCCTTTAATTTTCTACAACAGAGCTTTCTGAAGCACCACTTGATCCTCTAAAACACAGTTTTATTTAAAGAACTGTAGCCATTCGGCTTACAAAATTAGATAGGCTATACTCAGAAACACCTCTATAACAAGCACACAGAAGAGAGAATGTTTTTGGCATGTACATCTGCCTGCTAGGACAGGTTTCCCTACATCTCCAGTTGCCTTATGCTATCCGCCAGCTCTGTTCTCAAGTCTTAGACATTATGGTAGAATTGTTCCTCAGTGATCAGGAGCCAACAGCCATTTTGGCAATATGCAGGGCCTGTAATGTTTAGGTTCATTTTTCTCCAGTTTTAAGAATCCTTTCTTATTTAAGTAGACTGTCATTGTTTTAATTTGAAAATGACTAGAGTGGTGCCTAAATGTCCAGGAAATGCAGAGTCCAAAGGAAAGGCCACAAGATGTTTTAGGTTCACACAGTCCAAGGTCAAGACTTGACAGCAGCCAGCAGCAAAGTTGGAAGAGAACGCTGCAGATATGCCAAAATGAAGTATTAGTCTGCTTTCTTAGGAGAAGAAACTCTTATCTAAATTCCTTGTAGGCAGGGAATGTCATCACCACCAAATAATTAAGTCAAGCTGTCTTAGGAGCGATGCTTGAATCATCCCCATGAGCTGACAGGGGAGACAAAAACCACCCTGAAAACAAATGCACATGTACTCCTAGCCTAACTTAATAGTGTATTTAACCATGACTAAGTCATTCCTCCCCCATCTCGTACTAGCTATAACCTGGTTAATGCTTTCACTTGAGATGACAGCTCTTTCATTCTGAGAGACAGAGACTACATCATTCAAACTCTAGCTGTGGGTTTGTAAGACTACACTGGAGAAAGCAAAGTCTACGATTTACTGGGAAAGAATCTCAGAACAGCTCATCCTTCTGCAGCACAATGAACCGTAATAGTTATCTAGCAAGCACACAGAAATAAACAACTGTAATGACCTCCTCAGGTTAAAGTAATAGCTCCATCAGCTATAACTGCAATGCTTTTAACACTTCCATGAACGCTCCAGCAATCCTGTCTCTGTATTCCGTACTTGCACTGCACTGCTTTACGTTCACCTCTCTAATTCTAGAGAGGGAAATTTGAGCAAGAATTTGTTGTGGGGTGTTTTTCCTGCATTTAAGAAGAGGAAGTTTATTTTAAATGCTAAAGAAAACTCACCCCCAAGACCCCAAATCTTTCACAAAAGTTCCAACCACAGAGAAAGTCGATTTCAAAGTTGTGATTAAGGATTACGATGGCATTCTCCTTCCCGTACTTGGAGTAACTTTGTGGGTCAGTGTAGAGAGTGCAATTGGTGCCTGACCACCATTCCAGTAACATCACCATCTCTGGAAAAAAGAACAAGAAATATATGAATGTACATCGTATATTCAAAGCCACAAGTTAGTAACATGTTAAAAAGCATCAGTCATTTCAACCAGCACATAGCAAGAAAGGGCTGTAACGAAGTTGAAATGCTGAACATAAATCAGACAGTCACACATCTTGGTACAGCAAGGCAGGGACAGAGGAGAGAAGGAAAATAAGGATATTGCAGGGAAAGAAGGAGCAGAAAATTTCCACAGTGATACTGAGGAAAAGGAGTTCCATTTATTTGAAACCTGCAAATTCAATGCTTCAAAAATCAGTAATTTGCATTCAAAATTCAAATTATCAAAAGACATGTAAAATTATCATTCACTAGTACAACAAAATTAGATGAAGAACAGAAAAAGCTTTTAGAAGGAAGAAACGCAACTATTCCTGCCATATACAAGTCACCATGCTCCTCTAAAAACTGTACAGTTTTAGACCACAGAGCAGTTCGGACACGACATCTGCAACCCGCTCTGTTACATGTACACCTTATGCATCATCCTGGTAACTTGTCAGAAGCAACTGTCGTACGACCTCCTACAACTGATGCGCTCTACATTTGGCAGGGGTGCATCAATCCTCTAGAGCAAAGCCAATAGCTCAGACTGGACGAAGAACTTCCATGCCCAGACCAAAGGTAAGGTGAGTGGCTGGCAAAGTGTGTAGAACCAAGGATAGTTATTAATAGCATAACTATCAGCATATCCTTTAGTTGATGCACGGATGAAGTAAACTGGCGGATGGGAGGGAGGGAACAGGGAAGGAGAGAAAACAGGGAAATGACTGTTAAATATCTCAAAGCCACTCTGGATTTACATGCAGATTTGCAAAAACCTAACTGTAAGAAATGATAAAAGGACTGGGAGGACAGTGAGAGCTGTTTAAAACACAGGTGTACTTAGAAGCTGGAGTGTGGTTTCTCAGCAATTTCCTAGTGACTATCATATAACTGTCACCTTCCTATTTGCTTGTCCCACTATCAAGCACAGGCAAGAAGTAGGCTTTCACAGAATCACAGAATGGAATGGGTTGGAAGGGATCTTCCTTGTTTAGAGACAAGGATGCCATGTAGAAGAGTGTCAAATGCTTTGTACAAGCCCAGGCAGACGACATCATTTGCTATTCCCTTATCTACCAATGCTGTAGCCCCGTCACGGAAGGCCACCAAATTTGTTCGGCAGGACTTGCCCTGAGTGAAGCCATGTTTGCTGTCACCAGTCGCCTCCTTATTTTCCATGTGCCTTGGCATAGTTTCCAGGAGAACCTGCTCCATGATCTTGACAGGCACAGAGATGAGACTGACTGGTCTGTGGTTCCCTGGGTCTTCAATTTTCCCTTTTTTAAAAATGGGGATTATGTTTCCCCTTTTCCAGTCAGTGGGAACTTCACCTGACTGCCATGACTGCTCAAATATTACGGACAGTGGGTTAGCCACTTTATCTGCAGTTCCCTCAGGACCCACAGATGCATTTCATCAGGTCTCATTGACTTGTGCACCTTCAGGTTCCTTAGATGATCTTGAACCTGATCCTCTCCTATAGTGGCCAGTTCTTCATTCTCCCAGTCCCTGCCTTTGCTTTCTGTGACTAGGGCAGTGTGGCTGGAACACTTGCTGGTGATGACAGAGGCAAAAAAGTCATTGAGTACCATAATCTTCTCCATGTTCCAGGTAACCAGGCCTCCTCTTTCCTTTTGGAGACAGCCCATCTTTTCTGTAATCTTCCTTTTATCACCAATGTATCTACAGAAGCTTTACTTGTTGCCCTTGATGTCCCCGGACATAATTCTATCAGGGTTTTATTTTTCCTAACATATGCCTATCTGCTCAGACAATTTCTCTGCATTCCTCCCATGCTGCTTGTCCTTGCTTCTACCTTCTGTAGGTATCCTTTTTATGCTGGAGTTTGTTCAGGAGCTTCTTGATCATCCACACAGGCCTTCTAGCATTCCTACCCAACTTACTCCTTGTCAGGATGCATCAGTCCCGAGCTTGGAGGAGGTGATCCTTGACTACTAACCAGTTTTCTTGGGACTCTCTTCCCTCCAGGGCTTTATCCCATAGTATTCCACCAAGCAGATCCCTCAGGAGGACAAAGTGTACTCTTCTGAGGTCCAGGGCAGGGAGCTTAATGCGCACACTCCTTACCACCCTAAATGTCTTGAATTCTACCATTTCATAGTCACTGAAACTAAGACTGCCCTCCAGCTTCACATTTTCCACCAGCCACTCCTTGTTGGTGAGTACAAGGTCCAGCATAGCACCTTTCCTCACTAGCTCCTCTATCACTTGGAGGAAGAAGTTATCATCAATATATTCTAGGAACCTGCTGGATTGCTTATGCCCTTCAACAGTGTGGTTGAAGTCACGCATGAGGACCAGAGCTTGTTAATGTGAGGCTGCTCCTATCTGTATAGAGCCTCATCCACTCGGTTCTCCTGGTCAGGCAGCATGTAGCAGACCCTCACTATAATATCACTTGTCCCTCCCCTCCCTTTAATCCTGACCCATAAGCTCTTGGTCAGATTGTCATCCATCCCCAGGCAGAGCTCCATCTGGTCATGACATAGAGGGTGACACCCCCTCTTCATCTTACCCATCTGTCCTTCCTCAAAAGCCTGTATCTCTCCATTACAACACTCCAGTCATAAGAGCCATCCCATCATGTCTCCATGATGCCAATAAGATCATAGCCCTGCAGGTGTGTGCATGTCTCTGCCTCCTCTTGTTTATTCCCCATGCTACATGCGTTTGCACAGGGGCATTTCAGTTGGGCCCCCAGTGAACCCAACTGACTGGCCAGAGGGGCAGGAATTCCTTTGTGCTGCTCTTCAGGTGCTCTCCTTCTGAGCTGTGATCCCTCTCCAGGCTCTGGGCATCTCTTGCTGGCTCTGGCACCAAACTGGTAGGAGTGGGATGGATTGAGGTTTCTGCCCCCCGGTCGCTTAAGTTTAAAGCCCTCTTCAATGGCTTGGCAAGCCTATGACCAAAGATGCAATTCCTCTTCCCTGACAGATGTACCCCAGTAGACCAGGTGTCTCAAAGCAAGTCCCATGGCCTAAGTAGCTGAAACCCTGGCTGTGGCACCAGTCCTATAACTTTGTATTGGTTTTGCTTTTAACTATAAGCCTGACGACAAGACTTGTCAATCAAACCTTTATTTATTGAAGTCCTTCCAGTCTGGGGTATGGAGTTTGAGGTGAGTCAGTAAAGCCAATAAGCTTGGAGAGCTCTATCTCCATGGAGATAGAAAAAGAAAATCTAAAAGCAGTGGCTCTCCTCAAGCAACCTCTGTCCTGAGCTGGGGGTCCATGGGACTAAATCTGTCAAGATGGAAAAGGAGTTAAGAGACATGTTTGCCTCATGTCAAAGCTACCAGGAAACTTCCGCACCAAAGCAAAGGTCTAATGTGAGAAGCTGTTCTTTGCTAAGTGAAACATATCTCCTTCTCAGAGCCTATCTGTGCCATCTGAATGTCTCTGCTGGAAGGATATCTGAGATGCTCCAAAAGCACCAGAAAACCTCATTCTCCTCAGGGAAGATCAAAACCAGACCAGCCTTTGAACCTTTCAGTCTTGGTTCCCTACTGGCCTCGACTAGTGACCGAAAACAGAAAACAGCTAGGAACAAGTCACCTACACTTTCAAGGCATCATCAGTGAAATTAATTGGCTGAAGATTTTGTATGGCATCGTGCTGTACACTGGAGAATAGGCATTAGTGATACGAATAAATTTTATCTTACAGTCTTACAGTCAGGCTAATAATAATCTATTCAAATAACATTACGTTAATATGATAAAACCATGTTTATAGTCAGATAAATGACTGACTTGTCCATCCATCTGCTTATTTCTAACCAGTGCAGGTAAGTACTACCATGGCTGGAGTACATAATATTCAATACATGCTATTAGGCATCAAAACAATAGTCTGAGATGCAGAGGGAGACCTAAACTGCCATATGTTATTCGAACGACAACTTCACTGGTTGGAAACTGACTTCCCAACAAAAGCCAAAAGATGGCCATATCTCAGCAAGAGAGCTGTGGATATCTCCACAGAAATCACAGAATCACAGAATAGTTACGGTTGGAAAGGACCTTAAGATCATCTAGTTCCAACCCCCCTGTCATGGGCAGGGACACCTCACACTAAACCATGTCACCCAAGGTTCTGTCCAACCTGGCCTTGAACACTGCCAGGGATGAAGCATTCACAACTTCCTTGGGCAATCCATTCCAGTGCCTCACTACCCTTACAGTAAAGAATTTCCTCCTTATATCCAATCTAAACTTCCCCTGTTTAAGTTTTAACCCGTTACCCCTTGTCCTGTCACTACAGTCCCTAATGAATAGTCCTTCCCCAGCAACGTACATACACGGTTGTGCTTCTGGACTTTCCCTGCTAAGATCTGCTCCTTATGACACACATTCACAATTTTACATCTTTCCAAGCATGTATTAAGATTTGCATTGGACATAAAAGCTCTCCACTCCCAAAACACAGAAAAATTGAATAAAGATTGGGGGGAAAAAAAAAACCTAACCCAAACACAGTCATTTGCAAACTACAGAATCTACAGTCATATCACAATCACAGAAAAGAAAGGAAGTTAGTGAAAGGATTAACTTGTCTTTTGCTTAAATGGGAACCTAACTAAGAGAAGAAATGACTGCCAGCTGGGATTTTCTCTTTTTTAGCCTCTACTGCCCTGAGACCTATTGCCTAATACAAACAAGTAGAGATGATGACTATCAGGCCAGCCCTTTTGAAGAAAAAGCCAAATTTATGCCAGAAAAAAAAACCAAAACAACACTTCAAAGCCATCCCTCTTCAAGTGTGCTGGTTTTATTTTTGCCTTTTGCTAATAAATTTCAACAAAGCTAACACTACATCACGAATCTCACTAGACAGGCATGACACATTCACCGAGCTCTTTCAGTCTCAAATACATTCCAAAAAAAGCATAGAC